CTCTCTCTCTCTCTGTTTTTTTTCTGTTTTTTTCTTTTTTTTAGGGGGGGTACTTAGTAATGTACTCTGTGATGATAAAAATAATAAAAAAGTATTAAAAAGTCTTATCAATCTAGACCATTCGTCGAGAGTAGATAGTATAAGATTACTAAATGACTTCATATTATTATAATTCTCATTAATTCTTTATATGTGATCGTTATCGTGTTTACGTAATCTATCAGTGTTACTTTATTGCCGTTATATGAGTTGTTATTGTATGATCACTATTATCATTATTATTTCTGCCTTTTTCGATGCGATGTGCTTTAATAATAAAACTAATTTGTTATTAATATCATATGTTTAAGAAAATAATGACTGATGGTTAAAATAACGATAATGATAATAATCCTTGCAATACTTAAAATGCAAATAGCAATTATAATGATAATAAAGCAAAAAAAAGAAGAACTATTATTATCATCGTGGTTATTTTCGTGACTATCTATTATCAACATTATTGTCACTGATAAGACTTATAATTTTACGATATCGATAGCATTCCGTTTGCTGTTATCAGTATCATCCTTAACAACACCTTGATTATCATTTTGAAGCTCATTAACTAATGATACTACCACTTATACATAATCATTATCATCATTTCATCATTACTTTCACCATCATCATCATCCTTAATACCATTATTACTGTCATTATCATCACTGCCATTATTACTGTCATCATTATCATTACTATTATTATCATTGCCATTATTACTGTTATTATCATTACCATTATTATATTTACCATAATTACTGTCATTATTATCATCACCATTATTACTGTCATCACCATAACGACCATCATTACTGTCACCACCATCATTACCATTACATACACCATACTCATCACCATACTTAGACCCTCAAAGACACATTAACGCGACTTACAATATTTCCCCGACCTTGTCAAGCCATAAGAGCGAGACTTGCATAACACACGTCCCCGAAAAATACACAGAATGATAACGTTTTATTCTCCTGAAACGAGATATTAAAAACTGTAGCGTGTATTATAGCACGTACACACACAGTTGACTTCGTTTTTTTGTTGTTTTTTTATAGTTACTTTTCTTTTTTCTTTCTTTTTTTTTTGTTTATTATTATCATCGTCTGTTTTTTTTATCTTAGAATTTTTATTGTTGTTGTTGTTTTTCTCGTATTTTCTTTTCATTTTTTGTTGATTTTTTCGTGTTTATCATTATCATTATTATCTTTATATTATTATTATTATTATTATTATTATTATTATTATCATTAATAATAATATTATTATTGTTATTACAAATACTATCATCTTTATTATTATCATTATCATTATTGTTGTTGTTCTTCTTGTTATCATCATAGTTATTAGTGTCATCATTTTGATAATAATAATAGCAATAATAACAATAATAATAATATAATAATAATAATGATATAATAATGATAATAATAATAACAATGATAATAATAATAACAATAATAATAATAATAATTATTATTATTATTATTATTATAATTATTATTATTATTATTTCTATTCTAATTATTATTATTATAATTATTATTATTATTATCATCATTATTATCATTATCATTATCATTATTACTATTATTACTATCATTATTATTATTATCATCATTATCATTATCTTTATCATTATCATTACCATCATAATCATTATTATTATTATTATTATTATTATTATTATTATTATTATTGTTGTTATTATTATTATTATTATTACCATTATTATTATTATTACTATTATCATTATTATCATTATCATCATCATTATCATTATCATCACTATTATCATTATTACTACTGTTATTGTTATCATTGTTATCATCATCATCTTACTATTATCATTATTGTTACTATACTTTATTATTATTACCATTATCATTTCTAATGCAATTATTATCATTATTATCATTAAAATAATAATAACCATCATTATCATTATCATTATTATTATCCTCATTATCAATATTATTATCAACATGATAATAATGGTAATCATAATAATAACAATAATATAAATAATAATAATAATAATAATAATGATAATAATAACAATAATAATAATAATAATAATAATAATAATAATAATAATAATAATTATAATAATAATAATAATAATAACAATGATAATGAAAATAGCAAAACGATAATAACGTGGATGATGATGATAGTAATGATAATAATAATAATAATAATAATAATAATTATTATTATTATTATTATTATTATTATTATCATTATTATTATTATTATTGTTGTCATTATCATTATTATTATTATTATTATTATTATTATTATTATTATTATTATTATTATTATTATTATTATCATTACTATTATTTTTATAAGAATAATAATAATAATAATAATAATAATTATTATTATTATTATTATTATTATTATTATAATGATAATGATAATGAAAATGGAAATAAAAGATAATAATGTTAATAACAAAATTAAATGTAATGTTAAAGACAACAGTAACACTTATTATGTTAATGAAAGTGTTAATTATGGTGATATAAATGATAATGATGATAATAATAATAATGATATTGAT